GGAGCCCACTTGGCCAACGCCAGCAAACTGAGGGCTGAGCTGTACATTCAGAACCCAAATAATTCCAAAATGAGCACAAGGAGACTCTGGGTTTTTTTTCTTTCCAGACAAAAGTTCTTTCTCCTGGTGAGCTGTTCCCACTGTTCTGTAACACTGGAAAATACCCCTCCTCCACTGCTCCTCCAAACTCATTAAAAACAAACCCAGAGCAACATGGTTTGTCTAGAGCCAAATGGCCTGCGCAGGATGTGCTGAGCTGGCTTGGAACAGAGAGCAAAGAAAGAAGATCTGATCTAGGGGGTTCGGCTGAATCTTGCTTGGTGCAAAACACGCAGAAAGACTCAGTCTAGTGAACAATATAGAGCACTGTGAACATAGAAATATATGGCGACGTGGCCCCTGCCAGGAGGAGCTTACATTCAAGCTCAGATGAAAATGAAGGCCTGAGTCGGTGCCTAGAAAGGCTTGTGAAAGGAGTGAGTTTTAAAGAGGGCTCTGAAAAAGTGTGTGTGGGTGGGGGGGGGGAGCTGTATTGGGAGTGGAGGGCTGTTTCAGATGGCACGGGGGGGCGAGGAGGGTTAGGATAGGAGACAAATCTGAAACTGAGAGAAAGGGAACCCTGAGACGTGAAGATAAGGGGGCCTGACTGTCCACTGCTTAGCTCCTTGTGTCATCATTTACCCTTGTCCAAAGGGGGTGTAAAACAATCCAAACCAAATTCTTCGCTCACAGACACCAGGGGTAGTAACATTTGCCCTCCACGGTGCAAGGTGTAAATGCTGACAGTGAAGAATTTGGCCAAAGTTGCATAACAGACTTGCATTGATTCAGCAGCTATCCTGGCAATCCACTGCAATCTCCTGACTGCCTTTGAAATGACACTGGCAAGGTAGACCTACAGTCCTACACCCTAGTTGTGGCATGGTGTGGCTTGTGGGCATGCACTATCCTGGCTCTGCAGATTTGTTTTTGTAAATGGGCAAGCTACTGAAATATCTACAAAGAATCCTGATCCCAGAAGTGCTCCGCATGCTGGATTCTGGTATATTTCAGTGCCCCTCTGCTCACTACACAAAGAGTACTGAGCTGCCTGCTCTCCAGGAGTCCCCATCTACGGGAGTCCTTTTAATTTAACTCTGTTGTGGTTCTTCTCTGGGGGGAAAGTAGCAACGTAAGAGCAGCCAGGGTGGAGCAGTCCAGTTGTCGGTTTAGCGGAGTGTCCTTTCTCTGTCAGTGGTCACTACCAGATGCCTTAGAGAATGGTGCAAGAAACTGTGAAGTGGTAAATATGGAATAGCCCCTTCTGCTAGAGGTTGACTTAGGGGCTTAGATCCCTGCCAAACTTGTGTTGTTGTTGCTTTCAATCCTGGAACTGTGGATGTTTTCTTTATCCATACAAAATGTCCAAACTTCCCATAGACAACAGTGGTGCAGGATCATACCCTTAACTAGCAAGGTTTACTGTATGAGTTTGTCTGGGGACAGCGATTGATTTGTGAAGGTCCTAGAAGTGGCGTCCACACAAAGGTCTCATAGCCACAGACCAAGGTAGGTAGCGCAGTAGAGGTGTAACTTTAGCAATCAAAAACACAAACCGTAGAAAATCTACTCCAAAGCAGGAAAACAGAGCCAGGGACAGATAGTTTAGAAGGGCTGGGGGCTTTCCCTTCTTTGGCCCACCTCTAGCTAAATTGATGATCTGATGTGTAATAGAGGTCAGAGCTGACCTCTATCTACCAGGCACATTTCAGGAAAGGCTGCTGGTGAGTGAGCCAGAGGGCTGGATTAGCCTGACTGCTGCTTCCGCATTACTGCTGTCTGAAGTGAGGGGAAAGAAAACACAGCAGCAGTCGGCTCCATGTAAGTGACACCCTCCCCCCTCTCTGTGGCCAGTCACAGGGAATCCCCAGCCAGGGTAGGAGGGTTTGGATGTGAAAGGGATTTCCCAAGCACTTTATCAAGGGGCTCCCTCCTAGAAGAGATAAGCAGGCATTTAAAACCACAGAGACAGGCAGCGGCGCGGGGAAGCCTGGCAAAGCACTGTGTTTCCTGTCTCTCCTCAGCTGGCTTCGCAGGGGCTCTGATTTCCTTCAGTGGATCAACAAAGAGTTCCAGAGGCTTTTGAAAGAGGTGATTCAGCACATAATGGGGGTGGGGGAGGGGAAGAAAGAATGTGCTCAGTGTTGTAAAATTCCCATGCAGCGAAAGTGAAACCAGCCAGAGCACAGGTAATTTGTTGAAAGGTGGTTGTAATTTCTGAAGGCTTGTCACGCCACGACCTTCAGTCTTATACTTTGGATCAGCAAAACCACTGGGGTTAGCACAGTGGGGGGGTTATTATTATTATTTATTTTCTATTCCTGGGAAAGGTCAGGTCAGACTGGAATAGTGAGGGGGGAGAAGGATCTGCCAAGGAAATACGCATTTAAGAGATGTGTAAATAAAATGGGATCCAGTGAGATGTTGTTAAAGTAAAAGCCTTTTAAAATATGTTACATTTCAGATGCTTTCACTGGTTTGCCTTTTTCCCCCTTGTATCTTTAATAAAGGGTAAAAGGATGTTGAATGGTGTGTTTGCCAGGGTGGTAAAGCAGGCTGAGGTCTACTGTATGTTAATGCCTTTAACCCCTTGGGCCCATTTATTTCATCTAAATTAATATAACAGAGCCCCTTGGACTGCACTGAGCTTCCTTGCTGCACACAGAGCAGCTTGCTAGAGGCCTGATCCTGCAAAGTTACTTTTGTGCATAACTTTACTCATATGGGTAGTCAGTCCCACTCAAGCCAACGAGGCTACTCTTATAAGTAAAGTTACCTAGAGGCACCGTTGTGGCATCTAGGAGCCCCAGGCCTGGGCCAGGACCCATTGTGCTAGGATGAAACCCTAGTCCCACTGAAATTAATGAGAATTTTGCCATTGCCTTCAATGGGGCTGGAATTCATCCTAAAGCCTGAACCCTGCAGTGGGGTCTGCACAGGCAGACACCTGTCCTTGTGGAGACCTGTCAACTCCCGTTGGGCTTTGCAGGAGGTCAAGGGGTCACCCACACAGATCTGAGTGCAGGCTCAGGTTCTACAATTATTTCAAAAGCAGTAGGGTGCACACAGCATTGTACAGACAGTGAAGAGCTAATATAGTCCTCATCTTGGAGTTTTTACAGATTCAGGATTCTCTCCTGTAGGTGATCTGTGCTTGGCCCTCCCAGTGACTGAGCTGTTAACAAATGTATATTTAAAAATAAAATACAATAAAATAGGAAAGAAGCAAGGGTTAAAATTTCCCCCCATTCCAGAACAAGAAGCTAGGATTAAAAAACAATAACCGTTTGATGTGGAGCTAGGAACCAATAAAAAGTGGGAATTAGATGTGGAATCAAATATAATTTTAAGCAAGTATTGTAACCCTTTCCCCATTTCCCTGTGTCTGTAAACTGTCTTGGTTGGCACCTGACCCTGCTTCACTGAGGTCAATGCTATTGATTTCAAGGGAAGCAGGATCAGAGCTTAAGATGCTCTGCTTTTCAGGACAGGGACTTGCATTTTGATATTTCTGTTAACCACCTGCACATGTTAGGGTGCTATATAAATAAACTCTCCACCTGTATAGTCAGGTGTATGCTAAACAGAAAGATCCTGCTAGAAAGCCACCCTGAAATGGAACAGCGTAGGTGCACAAAGTCCATTGGTATCATTTTTGTTTGAGACACACCCACATACATGAAGCAAGGTATGTTATTTTTGTCTGAAGTGGGGTAGGGCTTATGGTAGGGTGCCAAATAAAAGATATATTCAGTAGTTAAAAGCAAGTTATATTGTTCCAGTGAGTTAGTAGCATTTCAGGATGGAAGGGATCACAAGAGGACCGATCGTGCATACACTTACGCATGTAAGAAACTTTACTCACTCTTATAGTCCGATAGCAGGACTGCTCATGTGGGTGTTTGCAGGATTAGGCCATTAGCTGTGTGGGTCTTAAATTCAAGTCCATAGGTAACCAGCAGGCTGTAGAGTTCATCCTGGTGATTTGGAGAACATAATTTGAGAACCAAACAGTTGGGTGGGTGGATGGATGGGGGGGGAAGGAGGGTCCATGAGAAGATTTTAATCTTACAAAGCAGACCACAGAATGGGCAGGTACAGACCACTCCTCCACCCTGCACAGGGTTATGCCCAAGCATATCATTACACCTGTGCAGCATCCCACTGCCCTGTGCTCAGCTGCAACTCTCGGCAGCATCAGGACCCTATTCTTCATTCGGGTTCTTATACCGCCCCCATCCTGGGGATGGCTAAGTGTTCACATTCGCTCTACGCAGTCAGGGCCTTTATGTGGGGATTGGGCCCTGCTATACTTTTTGGAGCTGTGCCAGCGTTAGGGCCAAGGCCTTCACCTTACACAAGATGTCCCAATGAAGTCAAGGGCCCCACTCCACCCCCAGCAGGGCACGAGGATGCGGAGCAAGAACTGGCCCTCGGCTCTCCCTAGGCACTGCTCATTGCCGTCTGCCATCACAGCGGCGCGTGCAGGGGCAGTGCCTGGGGGGCGCTGCAGGGAGCAGGGTTCACCCCACGCCCTGGGGGGCCCTGACTCTGGCTAGCCCCTGGGGGAGTGGGAGAGATGGAAGAGGGCAGTGGAGGGGAAAAGAAAATGGGGAAGGAGAAGGGCAAGAGGTGGGGCGGGAACAGGCAGGGGGAGCCACGTGAGAAAAGGCAGCGACCTAGGGACCGTGCCCCGACGCCACGGGAGTTGCACATGGCGCATGCGCCCCAAGCAGGACCGACTCCGATTCGATTACGTCACCCCTTACCACCGAATGTTACTCATTCTCGCTGATCCTCGTGTGTGTTGCGCCCGCCCGCCGCGCGCTCCTCCGCCCGCCCGAGTAGCCCCCTCCTCCGTGCATATTGATATTGCTGGGCCCGCCCCCTATCCTCCCCCTCTTAGCCTGGTGCTGGAGCGTCCGCCCGGCAGCCCCGCTGGGTGTCCCGTCCGCCCCCCGGGCACAGCCCAGGCCTCCGCCGCCTGGAGCGCTGCCCGCTGCTGCCACACGCACCGAGCCAGCCGGGCAGGGGAGCCGCCGGAGGTGAGTCCCGAGCGGCTCGGCCCGTCCGCGCTGGGGCGGGGACATCGGGGCTCCCCCTGCTCCTGTCCCCCCATCCATCCAACCCTCACCCCCTGCCCTCCTTCCCGGCTCCTGCCCCCGTGCCCCACCCTCCCGGGACCTGCCCCCCGATCCACCCCATCCCCCTGCCCTCCTTCCCGGCTCCTGCACCCCCCGATCCACCCTCCCTCCCGGCTCCTGCCCCACGATTCACCCCATCCCTCTGCCCTCCTTCCCGGCTCCTGTCCCTGCGCCCCACCCTCCCGGGACCTGCCCCCCTATCCACCGCCCGGTCCCTGGCCCCCGATCCACCCCATCCCCCTGCGGACTCGAGGTCCCGTCCCCCCCACCACTGACCATCCCCATGGCTACTCCCCTCTTTGCCACCAACCGTCTTCGCTTTCCTGCCTTTGCTCGGTCCCTCCCTTTTCTTTCACTCTCCTTTCAGTAGGAGTTCTCATCCTCCGTGGAGAGCCCCGGGCACTTGGGGGAAGGGACCGCCCTGGGGGAGAGGGGGAAGGGTGCAGAGATGATCTCCTGGGGCTGCCCAGGCACCTCCCTGCTGCTCCCCACTGCTGTGTTCTAGCTCCCAGGTGGTGATGGTGAAAGTGCGAGGGTGGAGAGGAATAAAAGAGGCTTTGGATGTTTACAAACAAGTGTGTATTGGCTTGACATTGGCAGGCGATTTGCATGGCTGAGGCCCAAGAAGGGGGTAGGAGTTGCATTCTGGCATGTGTGTGTTGGAGAGAGGAGTGTGCAGCATGATACTGGGTAAGGATGGGTACAGGGGTGTAGTGGGCTGTGGCATATGCATGCCCCTGGTGCATGTCTCCCTCCACCCCTGCCTGTCTCAGCCTAGCATCAGTCCAGAAAAATCAGTTTTGTAAACTGGTGCTGGCTTTAATCAGATCAGACTGGCATTTTCATTTAGTCAATTAACAAAATACATCCATGGTACTTCTACTTTAGCCCTTCCCAGCACTCTGCGCAACTAAGTTGTTTTGAGGTTGTGTTTTTTCCAGTGTCAGTTTGTGTCTACTTCTAGATTGCTTCAGGGCCTACAAATAAAACCAGGTCTGGGGAGCAAATTATAGCATGGCCATCCCTGATCTGGTCATGGCTGGTTCCAGTTTGTAGCATGGATGGGGTTTATTGAGGTGTAGGCTCTTCGATGCTGCTGTGATATCAGTGTCACACTGACATTCATGCAATTAGCCTTGGAACACCTCTGTGAGAGAGAGAGGTTATACCCCTTTTACAGGTAGGAAAACTGAGATGTTGAGTCAGATTTTCAAAGGTATTTTGGTGCCTAAAGATACAAGCAGGCTTCTCTAGTAAGATTTTCAGAAGCACACAACTCCCCTACAAATCAATCTTTAGATATCTAAATACCTTTAGAAATCTGGCCCTAAGTAACTTGCCCATGGTCACACAAGAAACCTGTGGCAGAGACAGGAATAGAAGAACCCAGATCCTCCCTGCTGAGCCCTAACTACAGGACCACCTCTTTCTTTCTTGGAATGTTGTTCCCTAGCCAATCTAATCCCCTGGATTGTTAGGTTAAAGTCCTGTCTGTGCTACCAACTGGAGCCAACTCGTTATTGGATCCTCTGAGTTTGTCACATTTGTAGTGTAGCCAGCTGTCTATGGAGGTGCTGGGGGCTTCAAGCCTCCTCACTCCAGGCATCTGGCTGTAGAGGATACTGGGCATTCAATGCAGTTGAGTAAATCAGGTGTGGATCCTGGATGGAAAGTGTGTAGGGTTGGGGTCTTGCATCGCTTTCATTTGGCTGGTTAACATTTCGGTCTACACTACAGCGGGGGGTCGACCTAAGATACGCAACTTCAGCTACGTGAATAGCGTAGCTGAAGTGGCGTATTTTAGGTCGACTTACCTGGCTGTGAGGACGGCGGCAGGTCGACCGCTGCCGCGCCGCCGTCGACTCCGCTACCGCCTCTTGCCGCGGTGGATTTCCGGAGTCGACGGTAGAGCCATCAGGGATCGATTTTATCGCGTCTTCACTAGACGCGGTAAGTCGATCCCCGATAGACCGATTGCTACCCGCCGGATCGGCGGGTAGTGAAGACATAGCCTGAGAAGTGACTGCACAGATTTACACCTGCCTTTTAAAAGACTCTCTGCAGTTCTGAGCATGGGAGGGGCTGGTTTGTAGTTTGCTTTAAGTTTTTCAACAAGCTCTTTACAGTGAGGTTTTCCATTTCTAATCCCAGCTGGAAAAGATGTCTGTGTTTTAGCTCATCTTTCTCTCTCTTTCATTTCTGCCACTTTAGGATTATTCCAGTAGATCAGGGTTGTTAGAACACCAAGTAAACTTTCTCTCTGACCACCTCCTATTTCCACACAATCCCAAACCAAAGATCATAGTGTCCTAAGAAACTTTGACGGGCTATTCTCCATGGATATAAAGGAGCCAAAAGTTTACCTCACTAGTTGGAACAGCTTATTCTCAATTACCGTAATTTGTTTTTAAAAAGACATGGAGGAGGAAAAACTCAGAGCCTACAGACAGAAGCAAAGGAATTAAAGATAACACTGTATTTACCATAGAAGAGAACTGGAATTTAACGATAACTGTATTAACTAGGTTGGATCTGTGACGTGGATATATTGTGCAACATTTGATATGTAGCTCAGGAGGGGAAGGCAGAGAGTTTGTCTGTTCTAAATGCATGTTGTGCCACTTAGTTTATCATTATACTACTATATTGACATCCATGCTGCCTTGGAATCCCGATCCACCTCTGTGGGTAGGAGGGAAGTGGGTTTTGCTTTTGCATTTTTGTTTCAGCACAGTTTACTTTGTTGCAAAAATAAATCAGCATGTACCTCTCCAGTTCTTAGCCTCATCTGCATAGGTTACATAGTTTCCAAACTGGAGGCCAGAGCCCGAGAGGTCATGACCACCCTGTAACTCCTGCTATATTCACTGAGAGCTATGGATGTCCACTTTCTCTGGGGATCAGGCTATTTTCCATTCCAATACAAACGGGACCGTAGATGCTTGCTTTAAAGTTTAGATGCAGCCTGGTGGATATAGAAACAAACAGCTATGCAGAGTCTGTGGAACTTATGCAGACAGCAGGCAGGAGATGGAATAGTGTTTCCCATCTTACGGTCATTCTAATTTTTTAGCTGTTCATAATCATACATGCAAACTTATGTTTTTATGGTGGGTTTTTTTGGAGGGACGGGACTCAATTTCCTCCATCATTTCACCCTGCCTCTTGTTCTCCACCTCTGTATTTTTCCCTGAGCCCCTTTCCCTACTACCCCAACTTTAGGATCTGATTTTGCAACCCTTACGCATGTGAAATAGCACCAAGGGGATTATTCATGAGAATAAAGGTTGCAGGAGCAAGACCTTAGTATGTCTGTAACATTATCTTCCTCCTCGTGCTCCCACAGTGTGTCAGCATGGGCTGCTTGGGCTAGCAGTAGTGTAAGGGCTGGTGGCTGGGCCTCCCCAGAGAGCCCTCCAGCTTCCCCTGCTGGTCTGACAGAGCTTTCCTTTGGCCTGGTGTAAGGCCTGCCATATATTCTTTTGCCAGGCTGAGGGGCGGTCTGGGTGGGTATTTTAGGAAAAATACACCCCCCCTTTTTTTGTTAAACGAAAAAAGTCCTTCACCTTTATTTTGTTATTTAGAACTTGTGCCCAATTATAAAATCTCAAGTACAAACTGATACAAATGCAGTGAATTCATCCTAGTAATTAGACGTAAAAATCATTTGATGTACCTCGATTATACGTAAGGCAGTGACTTGAGGGGGGCTAGTGATGACAAAATGAGAGTAAAGCTACAGTGGCTTGTTTGTCACCAGTTCCTCAAGGTGTAATTATTGTTTTCATCTAGCATATATTATACACACACACACTAAAAAAAACACCTTGGCTTCTTTGCTCTCCTCTCTGCTTTGAGCTCCATATTGTCTGTTGATCTCCCTCCTTAAATGTATTCCTGGTCACCTGACTTGCTGCTCTCCTCCCTACCTTCCACCAAAATTCTTAAGTTTCATTTTAGAAACTGTTTACATTCCTCAAAAGTACCTTTTGAGGTATGTATTATACTCTCCCAATGTCTCTTAATTGCCTCCTTGTTGAACAACAACAATATCCCACAAGCTACATACAGGCCTCTTATGTATTTTAGCATTTGCTTGAAAGCACTCGATAGTGTTAAGGTTGCAAATGTTTCCATTATTGCTTCATCCATGTACTTGCACTCGTAACTTCCCGAAAGTTTCATCCATGGGGATGACATTTTTCCATGTTTGAGCTCTCTGCAAAGATGAATGTTTTGGGGAAAATTTTGGGAAAAGCCTTCCAGCTACCTTTGAGTGGTGTGTGTGTGGGGGGTGGGATTTTAAGAAGTTGTAATCATATATGTTTGGACAGGGCTACATCGGAGATGGCTGAAGTTTAACTGCTGGAACTTGGCATATAAATAGTCCTTAACATAGAGCAGTGTCTGAGGGAGGATAGTTTTGATTTAAGTAATGAGCATTTGAAAAGTCACTGCGACTAGAGGGCAGAAGTCACTTAAAGGGGGCTTGCTTTTCAGTTGAAGGAGGCAGCTCTGACTGGGAAATAAGTACATCCCACAACTCTCTTAACCCTTTTCTTACTGGTTGAGGAAACTCAGGTCAGTCCCTGATTGACTTGCTCCATTAGATACAAGGGCTCAGTTTGCTCCCAGCTGATTTCAAAGTTTGTGTGAATGATGTATCAGTGTTCTGTTAGAGGGACACCCAGGGTCATGTTATAGACAGCCACATACATATTCTGCTCTGTAACACTTTAAGACCAATAGAAATACTTCCAGGAAACTTTTAAAATCCTTTCTAGTAGAAAGTGCTTTGAACAAAACAATCCTTTGTTTGCAATCCCAACATTGTGCTAATGCTTGAATGGGAAACTGACTACGTAGCATTTTCTCCTACTGTTTTCCTTGTCAAGCATATT